TCAACAATTTCGACTAGATATTACAGGGAGTTGATAAAGATATTCTTTGCAGAAGGATTTCTCCAGTCTTTTACAGGGAAAGTAGGATCAAAATCCTTTTCTATAGACAGAAAAATCAGCAGGCATCACTTCCAAGAGATAGGCAGACTACATTTTCTAAAGAGATAAGTGGGATACAGAGAGTTGTTCATCTGGAAAATCAAACTAACCATCACAGCAGTCTTGAAATCGTAAAAAGGAAGAAAACAGGAAGTGATGGCTTTAGAAAACAGACTGTTGACGGTTTACTTGCTACAAAAGGATAACTTCCCTTTTTTAAAAAACACTTAGAAAATAGAAATATCTTGTTTTAAAGAATATGCCGCCCATTTCTTTTTAAAGGATTAGAAAAAATCCCACTCCAGCAATGTCTATAAAAATGAGAGGAGGTGAACAGTCTACACTATCAACAAAAACCCAACCAAAAACTTAGTCAAAAGACAAAACTCTCAAGATGATCACTTGATCCCAGAAAGTCTTCAAATAGATTCAAACGAACCCAAAGTCTGAAACATTTCAATCTCAAAAAGCTTCACGACAAGCTTGCAGAATCATCCTACTTTTTCCAGCCAAGACAGCTAGAACATTGCGTCTGATTGGAATCCCAGTTCACAAAATAGCAAAACGAGATTGCTCTCGTTACAAATTTGGTTTAGCAAAATCAAGGCAAGCAGAGTTTGAGTTTTCACAAACACGAAAACCTCGACAATTTTATGGAGAGCCCTGACTAAGCAGCACAGCTATCACAGTACAGTTCCAGTTCAAAATCCAGCTACCTCTGCCCCCTTTCAGATTGGAGAAGACCCAGTCCTGCCCATCCAAAAGCCTTCCAATGCTTGAAATAGATTAAAGCTCTGCCAAACTCAAGCTTTGGTATCGATTTGCAGCTGAAGCCTAGCAGTTGAAGTTGTTGAAAGTCCAGTCCAGCACAGGCGTACCCAGTCCAGCCCAGGACAGAGGCGTCTACCCAGACAGAAATGGGAGCACAGCCCCATTTTTCTCTTTTTATAGTAAGTTTTCCCTTTTTAAGCTTTGTAAAGGGGAGTTCTGCCTGAAAGAGGTTCACTCTGTTATCATTCATTCTGGCCAGAACTACCAGTTTTATACTGTGAAAAATTGTGAAGTCCTTACCAGTCTAAGGCATAGAAAAGAACTTACTTGGGAGATATTCCTCACCCAAATTCACAATCGTTTGTTCAAAAGTCAATAGCTTGCGGCGCAAATTATTTTTACTCTCAAAGTCTGTTAGACTTGAAAAATTGCTAACGGTGGCACGCTCGACACACAAAGAAAGTTAATTTGTTGAGAAAATGACCTGAGTTGGGTTTTGGCTTGCTGGTGCACAGATCTTAAAGCAGCGTTCCATCTGCATATCCCTTGGTCCTTCAATGCCTCCACAACTCCAACACTTGCTGCCACAATAGCCTTGCTTGCACTTGATGAACTCATCACGATTATGATTTCTTTTCTCTTCTTTACTGATCTCTCTTTGATGCTTTGAACTTCTTAGTAGTGAATGTGAATGTTTGAGTGTATTGATGAAGAAGATCTTGAGTGTTTTGTACATGCAGATGCAGGGGGTATGATGTACTATACAGGGGTAAAAGGGGGAATTTAAGATTTTGGAGTTTGGATAAGCAGAGTTTTGTTGCCTCATGGGCACATGTTTTTGATTTAAATTATTGTATTTAGGCCGGCAGTATGGAAGTGAGTGAAACCAATTATTGTATCAAAGCTGCTTTTGTGATCCAGATTAGTATTTTGAACAAATACTTAGTTTTAATGTATCTTGACATGTTCCCATTTTTTACGGAGATATGTCCTATTATAATGCATGCTACCTTTTTATTCACGCGTTACGCTCTACATAAAATCATTTTATTTGTTTTTTCTCAATTGTATACTAAGGGAAGGGGCCTCATTTAGTTTATCGCCTAGGGCCACCCAAAAGTCAGGGCCGGCCCTGGTCGCAAGCATTTTTTGTTCTTTCCTCCAAGTTACCTCCCTCCTGAAATGGGGCTTCACTTTGGTGAAAATAGTAATTTTATTGCATTATTATTATTATTAAGGCTTTATCTAATTTTATTGCATTATATTTATATGTAATTTACAGCAACCATGTGCCTTGTATCAAACATGCACGTCACATGGTTACAAAGCCCCTTGTCTGTTGTAAATTGTCCCAATTTGCAATAAAGTCAAAAGTTTATCAATTGGTGTTTTTTGATAGTATCCATCACGTGAAGTGATAATTACACCAAGCTTTCGGCTGGAAGAGATAAAGAATATCTCTTTTTCTGCAACCTTTACTGATTTATAATAAAATATCATTTATATTACTATTTCTATTGCATGCTGTCAAAATTTCATACCCTGTATTTTTATATTGTGATAAAGGTGGAACGGTCACCATATGAATGGAAGCAGAACAAAAGGAAGCATCCAACGGGTGATATGTGTTTGCGGCTCTGAGTCCATCAAAATTTGGTCCTCGAGCACTTCTGCGAAGCTGGCATTGGATACTTTTCAAAACTGGCATTGATTGTGGAAATTTCACAATAATTATGGGACAGGGTAGGCCGGAGACTTGGTTGACTTCTGCACTTCTGCTACTTCCTATATGAACGAAACTGAGACTTCTCCATTGGTAAGATTATTTTATCAAATCTAAAAAAACTGAAGAAAAAGAAAAGCTGCTAATATGGCCGAAGGTGTTGTTTCAATAGTGCTCGAAGGGCTCAGCAACCCTATCATTCAGGAATTGAAATTCTTGAAATCCTTGGGTGGTAAGGTTCAGAGTGCACAAACCCAGCTACAATTCATGCAAGGCTACTTGAAAGATGCAGACGCAAGCCAGGGAAGCAATGAAGCAATACGCATTTGGGTGGCAAGTGTCAGAGATGCTGCAATGAAGCAATACGCATTTCGAGCCTACCAATTTCTGGCTCTTATGAGGTTCAACTAATTCCCATACTTGATTATTCTTCATGCTTTCAACTTCATTCAACATCGCTTCCCTCCATTTGTCTGCATTCTGACTATCTATTGCCTTTTAAAACTTGTACAATCAGTCTCAACAATTCGGGTACCATAATTTGGATAATAAAATCTAAAACCCTTGGACCTTGCGGGATAACCTATAAAATGGCAGCTAATCGTTTTAGGATCAAGCTTATTCTCTTGAGGGTTATAGATTCTAGCTTCAGCCTTGCAACCCTATACATGAAGATGTCTTAGGCTAGGCTTTCTGGTAGTCCAAATTTCGAAAAAGTGTCTTAGATACGGAGTTACTAGGTACTCTATAGTTTGTTGTTTTGATCACCTCTCTCAAAAACGTAGGCAAATCAGATTTAGAAATCTCGCTAAGAACCATGTCCTTCAAA